GTGTTCACTAGAGGACTTGGGGGAGGACTTGCTGCATGGCAGGTCAGACTAACTAGCTCATGCCAATGTTTGCGCATCTATGGTTGCTTTTGAGATGCAGTGACTGAAAATGTAATCACTTTTTTCTTAAGTAGGAAACATGGTCTCACAAAGTAAGTTAAACAAGGAGTGGCAAGATCATTGTGACACTGTGATGATTCTACAATTTGTTGAAATATTCTGGTTGCAATTCTTGATAAAATTCACCGTATTCTGTGCATGCATGCATGATAGCACATATCACTGGACAGTCACAGGTGTAACAGGTGTAGTTGCAGTGTATGTCAAGACAGCAACAATCCAATTTGAATTTTGGATATCTCTTTGTTTTAGGAGCTGCTGAATACATATACATTCTACAAATGTGTGTCTCTAGCAGTGTGTTTCTGTCCGTGCTGGTATATCATGAGAAGTAAATGGAGCAAGATCATGTCCTCAGAATGATGATCTTTACCGTAAAACTGTAAGTATTTGCTAGTAGGTTATTTGCTGGTTTCATGATCACATTGAAAAAGAGCCAAAATATTCTAGATTAATAAAAATCATAGATAACACGAAGCCTGTAATATGCCTAAGAGCTGATTTACACTTCAGTTTTAACTGTGAACTTTGCTACACAGTGTTTCAACCACTGTATGTAAACCACTTTGTAAAAGATTCTGTACAGATATAGACATGTCTGTGTCTGACCACTGAGTCCCTCTGCTTCCGGTGGCAGTGATCACACAAAATCCTTTTTATAAGCTCACCAAACTCCTCAAAACTTATTAGTACTTTACTCCCCACTACTACTGTTGGAAAACTTCACTCAAAACTTTATTTCTCCAGTGATTAGGAAATTTAGTCTAATTATCAGCCTGGTTTTATTGAAGGGTGGTTACACTTTATTTTTTTTTATTGTACCATTCTCATTGTTACTTAGTTTCAGACTTATTTTCTGTTCTTAATCTTTTAACTGTCTGACTGATTATATAAAGAGCAATTGCATTATCTTTCAGCATTAATTTTGAAAGAATAAGCAGCTCAGCTGGTTTAATCCTCTCTTGTCAGGTAGATTCTCCATTTATCTCATTTTCATTCAGATCCTTCCCTGCTCCTATTTCTAGTTTGCATTAAGCTTATTGAAAGATACTCGTACCAGTATACAAATGAGTATCTTGCTAACATAACAATTACATTAATGTAATATACATAGTAAGCATACATAGAATATACTATTTAATTTATAGTATGTATTAAATATATGCATGTGTTATATTTATACAATTCTTTATAAAAGATATTATTTATAAATATATGAAATCTATATATACAATATACATTATATAGTGTGTTGATAATATATGTATATGATATATATAAATAAGTATAAAGTAACATGCATACTATTAATACAGTATTATGCTAATATATAACTAATTTTACCTACAATGTTTCTTAATTTCTAGTGAAATTAGGTAAGTTGGTATATCTGGCATTTTCACTGCTTTATCGTTTTAGCAGAGCAAAGGCATGTAACCGGCTCTTAGTTGCTTTTCGATTAATATGATGTTGGCTTTTTGAAATGTTTGATGTTTTCTGTGGTTGTCTGAAAAATAAGGAAGTGTTTTAAAAATAAGTATGACATTTCTGTTGTTTGTTTGTTTGTTTTAAATAAATGAATTTATTAGACCAGATCTAATTTTCAGATACAAATAAAGTATTGCTTTTAAATTGAAATCTCAAAGCAAGGGCTGGAGGGGGGGAGGTGAGATGAGCAGAAGATGTTTAGCCAAGTCTTTGGTGTTATTCAGTGGATATGAACAGTCTACACAGTCACTCCCTACAGAAGCTGATGGAAATTGGCCAGCCAGCAGCCGACACAACATTTGCTGCTACCTGATAGAAAGCATCCCGCTGAGAGAGGCGGGATAGAAGGGTTGAGATGGCAGCTGTAGGAGAAAGATAGAGGCTGGAAGAAAGCAAGATAGGCTCAAATACTGAACGATTTCGGCTCTTCAGAATCCAGCTGTCCTGCATAGGCTTATGCTCATTTTTATTCCAGCAACTGACATCACAGGGGTGCTTTTTCCAGAAGATGCTCTTGTCCAAACCCTGCTGAATATTTATAGGAACAGATTGGTGTCTTTCTGCAACATAAAGACAGTTCATAGAGCTTTGTAAGGGCACATTCCATATGTAGAGCCCTACTATTTCATGACAGTATTGCGATTCGTAGCAAAGCTTTCTCAGCTATTAGATTCCCAATTCCGAACTCTGTATTTTGTCCTGCACTGATGTGCTTCTTGAAGGAGAAAGCAGTCTCAGTTGTTCTAAACGTTACTTAAAATACATGCAGAGATATTTTTATTCTTCTTAAACAACTGACATCCTTCCTCAACCAAGGAAGATCATCACATTTTACCAAAACTAAAATGTATTTGAAATGGCTTGGTGAAAATCTTTATGAAGTAATGTTTTCCTAGTAATTAAGAATATTTCCAGTAGGTGAGAATCCTCTCTTTCTCAGTGACTTCTTGTCTCTAGTCTCTAAACTTTCTCCTGCCAAAAGATTATTTCTGTTAAGCATCAAGTGTAATGAAGTTATTGGTTATTGTTTGTTTAACAAAATGAGCAGAGAATAGCAATGTAAGTATTCTTATATTACTTGTATTGTACATATTTATACTTTTTATTCACATGAAAACTGACAGAGGCCAGCAAATCTAGAAAGGAATGCATGATAATAATAGCTAAAATCTTGTCCTGCTCATGATGGCAAGAATGTAAACAAGGGAAAGTATAAAAACGTAAACAAGGGAAGGCTTGTAAGAAGCTGTGAGATGAGATATTTTCTTAAACCAAATGATAAGCTTTTGGCCAGGCCCTGTTTCAGCTCTTAAATGGAAACAACAAATGAAATACCACTACAGAATCATTGCTTGGAGTTTAACCACATGAAGCAAACTCTTAGTCGTGTCTTACTGTGGATAGTAATCTTTTACAGAATTCAGGAGTCGATTGTTGGGAAAGTATGTGCGTCTTACGTGGCATCGTGGTAAAATACCTGAAGCAAATAGAGACAGCATGAGCCTTCCTGTACAGCCGCTCTGCTACGTAACTTGGCTCATATCGCAGTCTAAATCTAAAATTCACTTTGCCACTAATGGCTCATGATAACTGAAGGCTGCTATATCCTAAATTATTACAATGATAATTTTGTGTATTATAATTTTGTCTGTTACATGTTTGTTCCTCCTTTGTCTAGGAAATTACTAGCATGATCAAAGCATACTTTAATTTCTAACAGTTTGGTTTTGATAGATAAACAAATGTCGTTAATGGGTCTTAAGGAAACAGTGCATCTGAAGAGTCATTACATTTCTCTTAAGTATGTATAGATGTGGTATCTTGGTTTTAGTATTTGCAACTTGGGGGGAAAAAAATGGCATGTGGTAATTCAGGCAACCAGCCTGTCTGCATCTGCCAGGGTTGAAGCTGCTCTGGTAACAGTCAACCAAAAGTCTTGTGTGAATAACTAAACAATAGGAGTTGCAGGTTGGGGGGTGGGGTGATTTTTATTTAGGTTTCTTTTTAAATATATTTAGCATTGCAACTCCACAAAGCGTTCCCTACTGAAATACAAACGGGGCATGGGCTATGCTAAAAGAATATTTGAAAGCTCTTACGTTATTAAATAAAGAGCTTGGCTTTTGGCTAAGGCACCCAACCCGGCTGGAGGAGCCGAGGACGCTGTCCCCCGCGCTGCTCTGCTCCCCCGTGCCGGGCGCGGCCGCGGGGCCCTCGGCCCGGGCCGTGTGTCCGTGGGACCCGCACCGGTGCTCAGCGCCGGGCAGGAGGCGGTGCGGGTGCGGACCGTGCCTGCCCTCGC